GTATAGATCTTATGCTTGAACTGCAGTTTTGCAAACTTTTGCAGGAATCAAAAGCATCACTGGTTGAAACTCTGAGCTATATCGTTGTCAACAACATAGCGGTATGCAGAAAAGAATTTTGGATATATTCCTGGACAACAACTCCTAGAGCACTTTTTGTGCCTTGTTGCAATCACAGTTTGAACCTTGTTCATAAACTACGCTGTGAACAACAATTTATTCAGTGCAAATTTTTAGATACTTATGTTAATTTGTTTTTCATTTTTAAATAATAAATAGTGCTCAACAATATATTTGATATCTAATGCTTGTAGTATTATTTCACTTCGCTTGCAGGGTTACTTTTTTATAACATGTTGTTGTTGTTGACTAATGCTCACTTGTCTGACCTATAGTCAGCCCAAGCCCACGAAATTCCTCGTGGCAAGAAGTGCAAGATACCCCTGTCATTGCCAACAGCCTTGAGCACCTTACAGTTGACAGTGCGATTTAGCTCAGTTTCACCCCCAATTTTAATCGAGAGCACTCTGGGGAACGTTTCCGAACATCTTCCACCCATCTTCCCCTAACACCAACCTTTGGAGAGGACTTTTGCTTTGCATATTTAGAGTGTCCCCATACTGCACGGACATATTTACAAACATACAAACAAACATTTACAAACACGTCTTTTATGGAACACGAACCCGAGCCCTTCAGCACCTCAGTCAGCAACGCTAACCACTATACTGGTTTGGTGGCTTTTTAGAACACAAATTTACGTATAATTCTTCAATAAATATGTTTGAGTGTGGTTTTTAACAAAGTACAAAATGTTTGCATATTTAGACAAAAAATCTGATGTGTATACCACATGACTTCCTTGTACGGAATGTTAAATTATACGCATTTTTTTCTTGAATTTCATTTAAATTGATTGGATTGAATTAAATCTACTTCGTCAACAGCGCATAAACCACAATAGAATAAATGCACTCTTTAAAATTCACTATATTTGTTTACTATAACGACACTCTGAATGCACAAAATTTATATCATTTGAAGAATTATCTTATCATTGCCACATGTTCTATTCAAATACTATAATAAAGCTAGAACGATGCATGAAAGAAATTAAGCAAACAAAACAGAAAAGAAACAGTTTTTCACAGACGATTTAATATTTCTCATTCAATTAATTCAGTTCTCACTTCGCAACAAGGCAAAAACACATAAAAACTCAAAATATCTGTATTAAAAATTACGAAGTAAATCTTCCTCGAAAAAATTCCAGAAAGGATTCAGCATGATTTAATTCGCAATAATAAATGAAGGCATCATTTTTGTTGTTGCAAAGCTTAGTCTCTCTAGATTGGCAACAAATCTACAATTCTGCTAAGTTTCAAATGTAAACAAATATGTCTGCCATGTTATTTAAAATTAGGCCTAACCGCACTTAAACAAGCTTTTAAATTGTTGATAATTGTACAAATATTGCTTCCAGAATTACGAACCAGAGGCATAAAACTTTAACCGGAAGATAAGAACAACATAATTCAATCCATTTTTAAAGCAAAAAATGTACCATTTAACAACATATAATAAGAGTAAAGAAACTGAGATCACTGTGCCGAGTAACAGAGTGAATATATATATAAATATAGTATTTATATATATTTGGTGCGGCCGATTGCAACCAAAAGACGAGGTGCACATCTACATGTTATAGCAGTCCTATATACAAAATTTCAACGTTCTAGGGCTACTCGTTTTCGAGTTATGCGAGATACATACGCACGTACGTACATACGTTCGTACAGACATCACGAAAAATTCTCTTCAGAATTAATTTTAAAGCAGTTTTATAATTTTTTTGGGGGAAACAAGTCTTTTATTCTGTCCTTATGTACAGATATCACGCAAAAACATCATTAAATTGCATTCGATAGCGGTCAAAATGGATATGCTGGCTGAAACTTTTCGCGATTACAATACTTCCTTTTTACTTCGTACAAGGAAGTAAAAATAAAGTGTATTTTTTTGTTTTTCATATTATTATGTTAATAATGCTTCATTTTTAATGTTAACCATAAGCGATGTCCCTTTAACATCGTCACTACATAAAGGCGCTTGCTAGACTTTTGCACGACGGCGCCAATTAGGCTTGGTGCGGGACTGTATGCGGTGGTATGACATAAAACTCCTTTTTGGGGGAAGAAACAATGGCTGACCAGATGCTCCAGAAAGGGCATGTTATATTGTGGAAATAGATACAGCTATCAGGACTGACTCCAAATTTAGACAACACAGATAGCCATGTAGAGGTATAATTTTCAGATGCTATCATTTATTCATTTTCTGTTCCCATGTTTAACAAGTAACAATTAAATAATTCACTTGAATTATTAATATTTTCAATTTATGTATATTAGCTGCACTGATAGCCTGAAGTGCAAAAAATGTTTGTTTTGAATAGTTACTTTCTATTTTTAAAAAAAGAATTTTAATACTATACATATGTTGATTTATTTTAATTATTTTTTATAGAGCTATGAAGAAATGCAATTTTAAAGCTTGAAAAGAGTAATGCGATTTTGCAGGAGCTATTGAGAAACTTTTAAAATGAAAGACCTAAGCATGTATTACAGTGGCTATCAGTAAAAATCAACCAAACTGTTTCTAGGATATTGCAATGAGCCAAATGCTGCTACGATACAGAAAAATCCACTACTGTTGAGGCAGAAATAAAGAGGCATTGACACGAAGTACATGAAGGGATTTGAGAAAAGTTTAGGATAGTTCCACTTTGCAAACATACTTCATTATGCTGCATTGTTGCTACAGTTGGAAAGCCACTGCCAAGAAGGCAGAGAATAAAATAAACATACACTGTTCAATCTGAATAATAAAATAAGAAAAAATGAAAAAGACAATGTTTTGATCTCAAAACAGGCTCCTGAAATTCATTATTTACACCATAAAACTCATTAATACAGTCCATGAAGCAATGAATAATTAAAAAAATTAAATTGCATGTTATATATACAAAATAAAAATTAATCTCTACATATAATAAAACAAAGAGTCTGTCTGTGTGTGTGTGTGTGTGTCTTTCGTTCACGCTGCGTGTGAGCTAATAAACACATGGCTATGAAATTTGGTACACAGGTGCATCTAGACAACAGCCAGTGCACCTCGAAGCGATTTTTTCGGAATTCGATTTAGAATTTTTTTAATTTTATGTTTTGTGACGAAATCGTGTCATTTTCAGACATAATGGGCTATAGGAAAGCGAGATTTTACTCTACGCACTCCATTTTCACATCGTCATGAAACGTAGGCACTTAGCTATTTTACGAACTTAAAATAAATTTCGTCTTTCAGTAAATCAATTAAATACAAATTTATTTAACAAAGTGAGCTTAACACCTTTTCAACGAGATTTTTTCTAAAAACGTTTATGTTTAAAAATGTACAGTTTATTTTTCTTTGATTTTTGGACACGTTAAACTTTCATTCTTGCGACTGCTTATACAAAAAGAATTTTGGAAAAATGATAATATTTTGCATTAAAAAAAATTTTTTTAAATGAAGCCTTCAAGTACACTTCTCACATCTCGCCTCTTTACAAATCAGGATAAACTGATGTCGCTTTTCCCGCGGCAAGGGGAAAATATAGTTAGAACACAGGAACGATGATATGGTAAGAGGTGTAGATGCGGCACTGTGCTGCGTATGATATTTCATATTTGTTTCAATCATGTTGTTATTGTTTTCAATAAGTAATCAAAAGACAACTACTGTGAATAATGACTCAACACTTCAGAATGAAGATATCACAGGCAACAATTTTTCTTTCTTATTGTCGTTGATAGATTTTTGATGAAATCGCATCATTTTTAATAGTTTCATTCTTTTAGAAATATGGGCAATAATTTTTCATTGTATTTCTTATGTCACTGTTTTTAAGAGATTTCATTGCCATTTTTTTATACATATAATACATTTTTTTAATGTTTTTTATACAGTTGTTCTGCAGAGTAAAATTCTGCACGGAATTTTTTGTTTTTTGAGTTTCTTTCATGTTATTTTTTGCTTATTTCACTGTTTGTAAGGTATTGAAAAATTTTGCATGATTTTTTTTTTCTTCAACGGAAATAACTTTTTTTTATGAAGTTGTTTTATGCAGAGTTGTTCTGCAGCAGTAAAATTCTGTACGCAGTTTTTAAATTTAACGTTTGGTGTTCCCTTCAGCCATTTTTCCAGTACATTTAAAAGCCAGACGAAAGGCTGGCCGCGAAGCTGCTAGTATATATATAAAATAAAAGTTAAATAAATACTTATTATATTCATTTAATTGTATCATACTTGATACAAATTAGTGACAGAGCAGGGAAAAACACTGTTTTTTAAAATGGAACAATCATTTTGATACAGATAAAATAATAATTCAATATGGAGGAAGTAATAAAATAAAAAAGCATGAAATTAAAAGAGAAAAGGAAAAATTTTTACAACCAATATTTGCACTTATTAGTAGCCAGTAGATAATGTTTAGATAGCTAGATAATAAGATAGTAGATAATGTTTAGATATAATGTTTAGTAGATAATGTTTAGCAGCCAGTAGATAATGTTTAGATATAAAATGTATAAATTCCATGCATGATATGGGTTCACTAATCTTGCGTGTAAACTCAAAACATAGGAGTTCTATCAAATCTAGGCTGTGGATGATCAGAAAGTACCAAATACTTTTATGATACTAACTCAGCCTCATATGGAAAGAGGATATGAAATGTACATAGATGGCCAGCTTTATTTAATTCTACAAGTACCATATCTGTTGATATAGCCTTCTGTATAAAGCTATTTAAACGAGTTTCAAGTGATCATGCTTCATATTTAGCTGGAACTAGGACTAAATTCTAGTTCATTCAGTAACTATTTTCAAGCCTTTTGACCTTGAATTTCTTCCTTTTTTAAATTGTGTGACCAACAACAATTGAGATCTTCCAATAATTTGGGTAAAACTGTATTTTATTTCCAATAACTTTGGTAAAACTGTATATTATTTCACTGAACAAATCCATTTTTGTTTAGTTCAGTAAATATTACAATGACCAACCAAAAACATCACATCTTTTATAAAATTCTATTTTTTACTGTTACATTTATAGCATTTCAAACAAATTCTTCATTGACTTGCAATATTAAATCAGTTTGGATAATAGTTAATACTTTCTCCTCACAAAAAATGTCTCTACTTTATAAAAAAATTTTTCAAAAAAAAAAGTTTAAATCCACATATATTAAAAACTGTAATAAAATGCCTTAGAAACTTACAGCATTAATGAACAGTTATTTTCCCCTCCCACATTTATAAAACAATTAAAACAGCCTTATATTCATGTTACAGAGCCATCACCAATAATCTATTAATAATCAACAATATAATTAAGACACAATAACACGCCGAATAAATACTCAGAAGTCAAACAACAAAAATCAGCGTTACACCTACAAAATTTTCACAGGGCTAGTTTCGATGGTTTTACCGAACCATCGAAACTAGTCCTGTGAAAATTTTGTACGTGTAACGCTGATTTTTGTTGTTTGACTTCTGAGAATCAACAATATGTAAAGCCTAATAAAAATCTTTTTTCATAAAACTACCTACTCTTAAAATAAATGCACTGTACAAAGCTTACAAAAATCTGTATCACTTACTTAAAATCTCCTTTCAGAAAATGGTCTTGATAATGTAAATATCACTTTATGATATAACTGATCATATAATTTTTAAAACATAAATGCAAATAAGTCAATTAAAGGATAGTTTATCTTGCAGTTATAGGCTGGAAGCACTGTCGTCACTCTTGTTTTTAAGTTCACTTTCAATACTGCAGACGGAATCACACTCCAGTTCAACATCCAAGTCTTTATTCTTTTGATTCTTCAACTCAGTTATAATAGTTAAGGCACGCTTTAAACTAGCAGCATACTGAAAAATAATACGACTTAAATTTGGGAGAAATTTTACGTATATACACACATAATTTCACACATTTAAATTTAAAAATACATTATGTCTCCAGGTTTTCAAAATAGCTGACATCACAAGCCCATTTAGATTGACCAAAATATCAGGATAATTCGGTTATCTTTTACCAGCCGACCACTTATGCAGTTACTGGCTTATTGATAACTACAGATGCAAATAGTATAAATATAAAATTAAAGTACATTGCAAAACAACATAATACATTACATAAATATTAAATTAGCATGCTGCACAAACAACATAGTTTTAAACCTGTTTCTGATAACAGAAAAGTACCAATGCCTTCATTTATTGTGATGAAAATAAGGGACTTCTAATTTTCTATTGTCATATTTTATTTCAAGAGATTATACAGTTAATTTTTTTAAAAATATCTTTGTACTTGCAAAGCAAAAATATAAAACACCTAGTCTTCCACACACACACACACACACACAAAAAAAAAAAAAAAAAAAAAAAAAAAAAAAGAGACATTAATTTTGATGTGTTTAAAGAAACCACCATCACTATTTTAGTTCACATAAAACAATGGCATTAATTCTGGTACATTTCTGTTATCGTGATCAGATTCAGAAATATACGAATGCATGTATGTATGCATATATACTATATGTATGTATATGTTGCATACATACATACATTTCTGATTCTGTTCCTGATAACAGAAAAGTACCTTAATTTTTATTCAGATAGGTATTAAAACTAAACATACAATCTTATTTTATTCTTAACTAGATGAAAATTAAATAAAAGAATTACATTTTATTTATGAAAGGCTAAGATTGAAAATCTACTGTATCCTGTACCAGTTTTCTTAAAAAACTACGCAACTTCATTAAAAGTGCAGATAAAAAAGAAAGAAACTTCAGTTACAATTTAACACCTCTAAAAAGAGTTTACCATTAAAAAATTTAATTGATAAAAAATATATATGTATACATAAAATAATTTTAAAATGTAAATATTAAATTATTTAAAAAATTATGCCAGGTTATAGGTATTATAAAGCAATTTAATAAAAAAAACTGTAATATTATAAAAATATCCTCGCATATCATATAAAGTGTGTTAATTTATATCTTTAGACACGGAATAAGTAAATGAAATTTAATTCCTAAACCAATTATTCCTTTAAACAACTGTGCGAATCAGAATGGATAATCAATTTAATTAAAAATCCATATTTGTCATGGCAACATGATTCTGTTATATGTTTTTAAATAAACTGCATTATTACTATTCATCAAAGAAATAGATATAATTAATAAAAAAGAAATAATTTCCAACTTCATTTATGAGAGAAACTATAAAATACATCCGGCATAAAATACTTATTTAATAAAATAAACCTAATTCCAAATTCATTTATTGAGATAATCTATAACTACAATAACAGCAGATTTAAAAAAATGTGATTACACCGTGTCGAAAGAATCATACCACCGCCCGTCTAAACGAATTTGCAATCAATAAAATATTAGGTGTTTTTTCATGTTCACATAAAATATCAATAATATAATTAAATATTTTTTAGAATGCTAATTTTCTTTAACACTGTTTTTCGACATCATTCATACATGTTTAAAATCATTAATTTTGATACCATACAAAGACAACATAGTACAGAATGTGCATTTATTAATTTAATGTTTGCTTCTTGCTGTCACATATACTAACTCACTTCAGCAGTCCTTAAGTATTGGTACCATTCCAATAATTCTTTGTTTTGAAATATGAACATTCATAACAGTTGAATTAGTTACTTCTGCACTATTGCATTTCAGCAACCAGAAAGTGCCTCCCGTTGTATGTTTTTTGGTTTATAAGATTTTCTGAGAAAAAACCTTTCAATAAAAACAATGACCATTAATATGCTGATATACGATTAGCATTAGGATGTATAACCGAGGCACAAACCACAATATAACTTTTTAATCACCCGCAACACATAAAACACCAAAACAGAATACTATTTCACGATTAGCATTGTAGCTTGTTGCATTCAATATTTTTTAAATCATGTTTCCAAAATTTTGGATAGACTTCTTGTAGAGCACATATTCACAAACAAAATAAGCAAAAATTCCACTTCTCACGATGATTTCTCCTCAATTCAGAGGCTTCCAAACAGGTACTCACAGTAACGCAAATTCACTCGCTGAAGGCAGTTGAAGTACGTAGATAGGGACAGAACAATGAGAAGATTCACAGTGCTTTCTTTGATTGACAATGCATTACATTTACATTTAATAGAGCAATATTTATATAGTCTGCTTCTTCATTTCCACATGAAGTCAGTTTCAAATCCTTACAGATGCACCTTTTTACCAATTACTAGAAATAATGATGGAACTCTTTCCGTTCCGTTTCCCGCTTAGCTACAAAGTCTAGCTTCAATTAACTGCGTAGCTAATTCTTCGCCCATCGAATTTGGCAGCTAGCCAAATCGGCACCCCGAGATGTTCGTTTAAAAGCTTAGTAAAGTAAATCCGCATGGAATGTCACGTTGAAAAGCAATGTACAGTTCTCTAATTTATGCCATTTATTAGTAATTTATCAAATCCATAAAAATTGTTAATATTTCTTTCTTTTATCCATTAATTTTTTCTGTTCTGCTTCTCCTCACTGTCGGTGAGTGTTCCGTCATATATATTCGACAGTCGTTAAATATGCATGGATATACACCTTCTTTTAACATTGGACATTTTCTCGGAATTCTTAAAATAGCCGCATTTTTATTCGTGAACACATCTTCACTCACAATCATATCGAAAATTGTACTTTTTGCACTATATGTGGTAAAATGTTTCATATTATGTCAGCATATTAATTCAAATAAATTGGTCCTTACTTGAAAAATAATAAATAAAGCCATATTTCAGTAGTGAAATAATTACTAACATGAGATTTGTATTGATTTCGGAAATAGGATTTTTTAAAATATATAAAACACTAACTTAATAACTTACTTTATAGATTGTTTCATTTTTAAATATTTGCTATACCTTTCTAAAAAATTTTCAGTATTATTATTTTAAAAAAAGTTTAAGATATTTAGCATGTATTCTTATTATTAAATTTAATTGGAAATTAAATTAATAATTGAAAGCATTTATATTAAATTTATATTCTTAGATGAATTACCTAGATCATATATTTATATGAAAAAGTAATGAAACATTGCAAGTAAATCTTATGCGGACTTCGATCTTGAAGGGCGCTTTAGTCTTTTCATTTAAAAAATGGTGATGAATTATAAAAAATTGCAAACAACATGTCAAAAGCAGTCATATTGTCACTTCATCGACGTATCAATTGCCAGATGCACGGAAATATTTTTCTCGTCGCAAGGTTGTAAAGACGTCGTAAAAGTTACCACAACCACTTTGCAACCTCTCGGACCAGTTTGCAATGTTGTGTGCTACTTGTGGTCTAAACAGTGATTCTAGATGTGCTTTGATGGAAGAGGAGGAAAATCAATCTGCTTTCCTTGCGTGCAATATTTCATTTCGGCAACGTGGGGTTGGGGCCATCATGCATGGCGGCACCAGCTGCATTGTTTCCGATGTTTTGTAATAGCTCGGAATGTGACGGTATTGGAATCCATTGTTTTTTAGGATCTGTTGCTAGAATTTTCCTGTGGATACATGCGTGCCTCTGAGCATATGAGGTGTCAGAATACTGCAACAGAAGATATCCTCGATGCGGGCACTCTTCACCCATTTTGAATGACCCAACGAACCTTATGACATGGTGATTATCTGTGGTAACACCATCCCCGCAGAATAAGTTGTCAGGAATGGGCTAATGGTCTCTGAGTTAACGTGGTGGCAACAGATGTCAGGACTGTTCTACGGGGATAATGGGTCCTAATGTGCTTCATGAAGACATTGCCCACACCATAACCCCCCCCCCGCCACCGGCTTTCCATTCAACTGCTCCATGAGCTGGTTCTTTCGAAAGTCCTTATCTAGCCTGTCGATGTGACGGACCGGAAAACGTGATTCGTCGGACCATGCAACTTTCTTCCATTCTAGGTCCAATTCCGATGTCTCTTGGCCCACTGCATATGCAGCTGGCGATGGTGTGGCATCAATGCAGGGACATGCTTAGGCCTCTGGTTGCATAGACCTATACACAGCAATGTACACTGCACACTGTTTTGAGAAACACTGTCTGGGTCACCACTGTTGTAGCTGGTGGTGATTTCAGCTGTTGTAGCTCTTCAGTGATGGCGAACAATGTGTAGCAATCTCTGCTCTCCTTTGGAATCAATACACCCTCAATAACACACTGTTGGCCGGCGACTTCTCATTTCACCATCTATACACCACTTTCAATATGTGCTCACAACAACTGGAACATGAACAGCCTACTAAATGTGCCGTTTCTGATATTGATGTTCCTGGTCGTTGAGTCATAACGATTTTACCTTTATCAAAGTCTGATAAATCAGCTGCTTTCCCCATTATGTTGCTATCTGCACTATGTTTGGAAAGACAATGCATAGCTGTTTTGCATAATCCAACATCAGCTGTGCAAGCAGTGGTTTTGTTCCTGTGCAAGCCCAATGTTACAGACAGAGGGTGGTCATAATGTAATCACTTTTCAGTATATATATATATATATATATAACCAGTTTAATTAATCTGGTTATTGCGATTTTTATTGGTCAAGCTACTAATTACTAATATAAATAAAGCTTTTATTGGATTTAAATTACTCACTTTGATAATTAACATGAAAGAAAAATCAAATAATTTATGCTTTGACAATAGCATGGAAGAAAACATATTTTACACTGCTCGACATTGAAAATGCAACAAGAAGGAGTGGTCAGAAATTTATGCAAATTTTACAGTAGACGCAACGTACTGAGTATGCAATGATGTGAATGCGCGCTCTCGACGCAGTGAAGTAGATCTAATGGAAGGATGTGG